AGACTGCCCTCCCTGCCCTCAGTGAGAAGACAGAGGGTGTTCAGTCAACAACTAAAGCCGCGGCTTCTTGTTCTGATCCCGTCTCATTCTTTTCACAGAAAAACAGAAAAACAGGAAACCATGAGCTGCGGTAACACACCACAGGGGATGTGCAGCGCTGAACTCACAGCCTCATGTTCCTCTCGGCTACTTACAGTCACAGCTCGAGAGCAAAGGGCAAAACAACATGGAAATCAAACACAGCTCAAATATACCATCAACACAGAGCAAAAGCTCAAAATGGGCCATTTGTTTCACTGATTATCGGACGCTTGTGAATGTGCATTTGGTGTAAATCTCTTAGTTTGTGCTGTAAAACCATGTTGTATTGAGTTAACTTGTATCACCATAATTAGGGCGTTACACACACAGCCCAGACCTGCGGTTTATATCTTAATGAACACAGAAAATGCAGCGCTTTCACAAACACATAATTTCCTGCCTAGGCCTCAATGACACTGTAACCGGTAACTGACTGAAACACAGAGACACACACAGGCAGAGAGGCCGAGAGAGAATGATACGTACAGACAAAGAGAGATTGTTATGGAGATGTACTTTTGCACACACAGAGATAGACAGAGATACACACAGCCAGAGAGAGGGAAATACACACACACAGCGAGAGAGAGAGAGAGAAATACACACATAGACAGAGAGAGAGAAACACACACAGCCAGAGAGAGAGAGAAACACACACACAGCCAGAGAGAGAGAGAAACACACACACAGCCAGAGAGAGAGAGAAACACACACAGCCAGAGAGAGAGAGAGACACACACAGACAGAGAGAAAGAGAAACACACAGCCAGTTAGAGAGAGAAACACACACATGGACAGAGAGAGAAACAAACACACAGACAGAGAGAGAAAAACACACACACAGCCAGAGTGAGAGAGGAACACACACACAGCCAGAGAGAGTGAAGCACACACAGACATGGCCAGAGAGAAACACACACACAGACAAAGAGAGAGAGAAACACCCACAAAGCCAGAGAGAGAGAAACACACACACAGACAGAGAGAGAGAGAAACACCCACAAAGCCAGAGAGAGAGAAACACACACACAGACACAGAGACAGAAACACACACACAGCCAGAGAGATAGAGAAACACACACACAGCCAGAGAGAGAGAGAACACACACACACAGACAGAGAGAGAGAAACACACACACAGCCAGAGAGAGAGAAACACACACACAGCCAGAGAGAGAGAGAGGAACATACACACAGCCAGAGAGAGTGAAGCACACACAGACATGGCCAGAGAGAAACACACACACAGACAGAGAAAGAGACACACACACACATCCAGAGAGAGAGAGAAAAACACACACACAGACAGAGAGAGATGAACACATACACACAGCCAGAGAGATAGAGACACACACACACATCCAGAGAGAGAGAGAAACACACACACACAGAGAAACACACACACACAAGCCAGAGAGAGAGAGAAACACACACACAGCCAGAGAGAGAGAGAGAAACACACACACAGACAGAGAGAGAAACACACACACAGCCAGAGAGAGAGAGAAACACACACACAGCCAGAGAGAGAGAGAGAAACACACAACAGCCAAGAGAGAGAACACACCAGCAGAGAGAGAAACACACACACAGACAGAGAGAGAAACACACACACAGCCAGAGAGAGAGAAACACACACACAGCCAGAGAGAGAGAGAAACACACACACAGCCAGAGAGAGAGAGAACACACACACAGCCAGAGAGAGAGAGAGAACACACACCACAGCAGAGAGAGAGAAAACACACAGACAGAGAGAAAGAGAGACACACACACAGACAGAGAGAGAGAGAAACACACACACAGCCAGAGAGAGAGAAAAACACACACACAGACAGAGAGAGAGAAACACACACACAGCCAGAGAGAGAGAGAAACACAACACACAGCCAGAGAGAGAGAGAGAAACACACACAAACCACAGAGAGAGAAACACACACACAGCCAGAGAGAGAGAGAAACACACACACAGCCAGAGAGAGAGAGAAACACACACACACAGCCAGAGAGAGAGAGAAACACACACACAGCCAGAGAGAGAGAGAGAGAAACACACAGCCAGAGAGAGAGAGAAACACACACATGGACAGAGAGAGAAACAAACACACAGACAGAGAGAGAAAAACACACACACAGCCAGAGTGAGAGAGGAACACACACACAGCCAGAGAGAGAGGAACACACACACAGCCAGAGAGAGAGAGACACACACACAGACAGAGAGAAGAGAAACACACAGCCAGAGAGAGAGAGAAACACAACACAGAGCCAGAGAGATAGAAAAACACACACACAGACAGAGAGAGAGAACACACACACAGCCAGAGAGATAGAGAAACACACACACAGCCAGAGAGAGAGAAACACACACACAGCCAGAGAGAGAGAGAAAAACACACACACAGACAGAGAGAGAGAGAAACACACACACAGCCAGAGAGAGAGAGAAACACACACACAGCCAGAGAGAGAGAGAAACACACACACAGACAGAGAGAGAGAAACACACACAGCCAGAGAGAGGGAGAAACACACACACAGACAGAGAGAGAGAGAAACACACACACAGACAGAGAGAAGAGACACACACAGCCAGAGAGAGAGAGAAACACACACACAGACAGAGAGAGAGAGAAACACACACATGGACAGAGAGAGAAACAAACACACAGACAGAGAGAGAAAAACACACACACAGCCAGAGAGAGAGAGAGGAACACACACACAGCCAGAGAGAGAGAAACACACACACAGACACAGAGAGAAACACACACACACAGACAGAGAGAGAGAAACACCCACATAGACAGAGAGAGAAGCACACACAGACAGAGACAGAAACACACACACAGCCAGAGAGAGAGATAAACACACACACAGCCAGAGAGAGAGAGAAACACACACACAGCCAGAGAGAGAGAGAAACACACACACAGCCAGAGAGAGAGAAACACACACACAGCCAGAGAGAGAGAGAGAAACACACACACAGCCAGAGAGAGAGAAACACACACACACAGACAGAGAGAGAGAGAAACACACACACAGCCAGAGAGAGAGAAACACACACACACAGACAGAGAGAGAGAGAAACACACACACAGCCAAAGAGAGAGAAACACACACACACAAACAGGGAGATAGAGAAACACACACACAGCCAGAGAGAGAGAGAAACACACACACAGACAGAGAGAGAGAAACACACACACAGCCAGAGAGAGAGAGAGAAACACACACACAGCCAGAGAGAGAGAGAAACACACACACAGCCAGAGAGAGAGAGAGAAACACACACACAGACAGAGAGAGAGAAACACACACACAGCCAGAGAGAGAGAGAAACACACACACAGCCAGAGAGAGAGAGAAACACACACACAGCCAGAGAGAGAGAGAAACACACACACAGCCAGAGAGAGAGAAACACACACACAGCCAGAGAGAGAGAGAGAAACACACACACAGACAGAGAGAGAGAAACACACACACAGCCAGAGAGAGAGAGAAACACACACACAGCCAGAGAGAGAGAGAAACACACACACAGCCAGAGAGAGAGAGAACACACACACAGACAGAGAGAGAGAAACACACACACAGCCAGAGAGAGAGAACACACACACAGCCAGAGAGAGAGAGAGAAACACACACACAGACATAGAGAGAGAAACACACACACAGCCAGAGAGAGAGAGAAACACACACACAGCCAGAGAGAGAGAAACACACACACAGACAGAGAGAGAGAAACACACGCACAGATAGAGAGAGAGAAACACACACACAGCCAGAGAGATAGAGAAACACACACACAGAGAGAGAGAGAGAAACACACACAGCCAGAGAGAGAGAAACACACACACAGCCAGAGAGAGAGAAACACACACACACACACAGAGATACACAGAGGGAGGGAGATACAGAAACACATAGGGAGATACAGAGAGAGAGATATACAGTGACCCACACAGACTCAGATCTGCAGACACACACAAAGACACAGGGTGTGATACATAGAGAAATACAGAATCACACACAGACAGAGATGCACATAGACACAGACACAGAGAGCTACAGAGAGCGAGAGATACAGAGAAAGACGAAGAGAGTTACAGACACACACACAGACACAGAGATACACAGAGAGAGATTCAGAGATACACACAGACACAGAGAGATACACACAGAAACGAACAGAGACAAACACAGCAAAGCAATGTACAGACACACACAGCGCGCTATATCAAATACAAGGATTACTGTTATTAATTTGATTCACACTCTCAGTCGGCCATTGTAACTAGGCCCAGGCGGCCACTTCTGACGGCCAATTTGAGGCCATGTTCAAACGAGAAAATAATTATGCAGAATTATATTTCAAATTTTAATAAAAGAAGGAACTGTTGGACCACATGGAAGCATTTCAATATTCATTACAAAACTAAATGCTTTGTCATGAGCTGCAGACTTTTCCGCACATAAAAGCCACCGTAATGGAGCTCTGTGTTCTAAAGGAAATTCCCTGCTCTCTCTGCTCGTTGTGTCCATACCGGTGCCCGCTCCCCGCGCACCGGAAATCTGTAGTCTAATCACATTCTGCTGCTAAGAAACCATGTTAGAGAAAAGAGGTTTAGATTTGATCATTTCTTTCTTTCTTGTTCAAAATTTTCCGCTTCAGAATCAGAAAAATCACTTCCTGTAAAGAGAATGTGAAAAAGCAACACGGAAAATACAATTTGGTTTCGGTTTCATAAAAGCGTCTTTCAGAGCTTTACAGTGATGCACACTTATTGATTGAAATTATTTATCTAATTTCTACCTTGGTTTTCCAGGCAACGAAGCGTATCATGATACCAGAGGCCACTGTTACAGACCAGAATTAGATCGGTCAGTTTTCCAGTCACCATTCATTGCCGTCCCACCCAACTGTTGTCACACAGAAACAGATTTCTAGAAGGACAACAAGTGAGAATAATTTACGATAGTTTACAGCATCACCTCGGAGCTGAGGCCAGGATTTGGAATGTAGTAGTGAACTTAACGGAAAAGGAGTCTCGGTCTCTCCTCTCTCTGTAGGAAACCCCGGTTCCTGAGCCACATGGATCCGCAGAGTTCCAGTTCACTGCCCAACACAGACCGGCCCAGGCCTCGGAATGGAGAAGACAAGTCACTGTGAAAGGGCTCGGGTACTGATAAGTTGACTGAGGTGAAAGATGTTTGTCAGGTTACGGTATGAATGGATAATACTACTACTACTACTACTAATAATAATAATTTCGGAATCCTGTAGCTCATTGGTTAGAGCACTCGCTTTACAAGTGAGAGACCTGAGTTCAATCCCCGGCAGGTGAGGGCGAAACCTTGGGCAAGTTTCCTTACTACACACGGAGCCTAATAATAATCCCTCCAAAACCGAAAACAATAATAAATTGGACATTTTCAATCTACGACTGTTTGTGGGACATTGCTGTGCGCAATTGGCTGCCGCGCTCGCCCACAAATATACTATCAATTCACTTTACAGTGTGTTCTGTGCAGCGCTTTGGGACGTCCTCCTGACGTGAAAAGCGCGATATCAAATGCAAGGATTATTATTATTTTTATTATTATAATAATAATCCTTGCATTTGCTATAGCGCCTTATCAAATCTTCAAGACGTCTCTCACCGCTGTGCAGAAGATACCGTAAAATGAATTGACTGTATATTTTGCGGTCGAAATACGGCAGCCAATTGAGTACAGCAGTGACCCACAAACAGCCATGGATTTGGGAATCAATTTCTTCTCATTATTAGTTTTTTAAACAAATTGAAGGATTTATTAAACCCGAAAAAGCAATATTATAATCAATGAATGAACTGACAATCCCAATTGGGTGTAATAAAGGTTTATTGTAACATAATTGGGACCATTAATTCAACATGTATCTCAAGTAATACTTAGAGAAACAAAACCATATTGTCCAGTTCTTGAGCCTGACATACCACTCAGAGCTACGTCTCTTGCTCTCTATCTCTCTCTCTCTCTATAGTGCATCTGTCTCTCGAGCTCTTACTGCTGGGACGAATCTTGTCCAGACTCATCTTTTATCATGTTAACAGCATATTGCTGTTTATAAGTGTTGTCCATTTTCCCGTGCATTTTCCCCCTTAGCTGTTTTCTTTCCGTTTGTTCATCATCTTTTTACTGCGGGGCTGTTGAAATAAAACCGCAGTAAATTACCTCAATGACACAGAACTTGATAACTTCCCGATTTCTTTGTCAATATCAGTTCGTTTGTTAGTCCTGTTGTAATCATACTTGTCCTTAGCTTATCGCCTGAGACATTATGGTCTGCTATCTATCTCATCAGCATTTCCGAACAACAACTTGAGTAAAGAAACTTGTTGAACGTTTTGCCCAGCCGGGGAATCGAAACCAGGTCATATCGCTTGCGAGGTGTGTCTTCTAACCACTGAGCTCCAGGACGTAATCTTCTCGAATCTGTGACAAGGCTGTACTCCACCAGCACTGCCCTACAGTGTCAACCTGGACCAGGAGCTCAAATGCCCCGATGCGAAGCTTGAACCCAGAACATTCAAATTAGAAAGTGAGACGGACTGAGTCAGGGTCACATAAGCAGCTCGTCCGGAAAGATCAACGAGTTTTGTGCGAGGTCACCGCCGACTGCTATCAGACGTCTTCACCACTGGCACAAGCTGATCGCCAAATACTCAGCAGCACCACGGGAAAGATGCCGGGAATACAATACAGCAGCCTGAAATACTTGCTGAAGCAACTGACCAAACCAAACACAATCTTAGGAAATGTTACCGTTTTTTTTGTCCTCGCTGCAGTCGAAGAATTGTTGGAGCTGACGTTTTCATGTCCTTGTGATCCAAAATTTAACGAGAAGTATGTCACTTTGTTCTTTGTCCTTCCTGCCAGTTTGCTTATTTTAATTGGCATAGTGGCACAAGAAAATCTACCTAACCGTTGTTCGGATTATAAGAAAAACATATGTTTTCTGGCACAAATTATCGCCCCTCCCCTTATGTGGACTGTTTTGCTTTTCCTGGACGGTGATTACTTGATTTGTGCAAAATCTGAAGGAGATATCAGGAAGGAAAACAATCAGAGAAACCAAGGTTCAGATTCCTGCAACGTATCAGGAGAAAATCAAACACTGGAAACCGAAGACAAGCATGTCACCAAGAATCTCCTGACATCACAGGTAAGTTCATTTTTGCAGACAACTTCCCAAACAGACACTTGGCGGCTGAATTCAGGGAAACGCATAATCGACCATAAAAATGCCCGTGTGGGTCATTAACTCGCGTTAACCTCCTGCTATCCACCCTCCCCCACCCAGACCCCCGTCTCGGGTACGTAACTCTGTCTGTCCAGTGACTTGGGACATCCTACGACATGAAAGGCGCTATAAAAAAGTTATTTTGTTGTTGGTGTAACCATTAGTAGATCGTGAACTCACTGCATTGGATCTTTGAGAATGATTTAAGGGCTCTCCAGCCATTCTTGAGAGCAAACCGTGTGAAAAGTGTGGAACCGCTGAGGTAAACAAATCCCCGTATGCTGTTGGTCGTCAAACATAAATTCTATTTGATATTGGTCTCTGTCTTCTACCGTGACTGCAAATTTTTTTACGTTTGTCCAATTTAGTACAACGTTGAACTTTAGGAGAAATCTGGGAAAACAAAGTCGATGTTTTGAGAACAATAGGGGAACAGATATGGCTCACCGAATTTAGCTTACGATAATCAACAGTTAATTACTATGAACCTCAGCTTTTTGATGGCCAAATAGGTGAGTTTTAAGCAAAATATCCCGGTCCAACATTCCTTGTTTGATTAATAAATTAATGGTGTTTCTTTGTAATAAGTATGGACTTATTATTCCTACTGTTTGTACTATTTCAATGTATGATCTAAGTCTCTACTTCCTTAGCTGTAGCTCAGTGGTTAGTGCACTCGCTTTGCAAGTGAGAGAACTGTGTTCAATTCCAGGCAGGTCAGGGCAAAACCTTGGGCAAGTTTCCTTACTCCATACAGAGCCTAATAATAATCCCTCCCAAACCAAAAACAATAATAAATTGGTCATTTTCAATCTACGACTGTGTGTGGGACATTGCTGTGCGCAATTGGCTGCCGCGTTCGCCCACAAATATACAGTCAATTCACTTTACAGTGTGTTCTGTGAATCGCTTTGGGACGTCTTCCCGACGTGAAAAGCGCTATATCAAATGCAAGGAATATTATTATTATTATTATTATTATTATTATTACATCTGTAACTTTTATGCTCAAATATTTAACGTTTACACTACCACTGTCCCTTTAATATCTTGGGCTTCTAATTTGCTTACACGTCTCTAATGAGGGACTTCATCAAATCCCGTTTGAAAATCCATATGAACTACATCAACTGAAGTACCTCCATCCACCCTTTCCGTTATGAAAAGTCTATCAGCTTCGTTGGACAAAATTTGCCTTCAACATATTTGTGTTCGCTGTCCTTTACTACGCCATATTTTTCTAAGTAAAAATTTATTTTGTCCCGGATTATAGTCTCCAGAAGTTTCTCCACGACTGACGTTAGGCTAACTGGCCTGTAGTTCCCGGGTTTACACTTCTGNCCCCCTTTTTTTACAGGGGAGTAACCTTTGCAAACCCCCAGTACTCTGGTACTACCCCGGTGTCCAAGGAGGATTGAAAGATTGTGACCAGAGCCTCCATTATTTCCACCCTTACTTCCCTTGGTAACCTTGGATGTATCCCATTCTGGGTCACTTATCTACCTTGAGCACCGTCAACTTTATTAGTACCTACCTCCACTTTCTTTATTCTTATCTTATGCAATTCTTCTACCATCTCCTCCGACACTATGGCTTTGGCTGCATCCTTTAACATTTCCAAACCACTCTTCTACCTCGCAGTTAGAAGGTTGTTCCAGTCGCATACCACCGACGTACAGATCACAGCCATTGCTGACGTTAGCGAGCAATGCTCGGGAGAGTGCCACCTTGTCGGGGTGCAGTATTATTATCCTTGGATGCACGCTTCACCTCACAGATCCAGTCCGGAAACTTGATATCTTGTTTGACCCTCAACGGTCCTTTAGACCCCACATCCATGCCATGACCAGCTTTGCCATCCCCACCTCTGCAACATCGCCCACCACAGACTCACGCATGAGGCCGCCGAAACCCCATTGTCGCGGACGTCACATCCACGTCGACTTTGCCAACTCCCCGCTTGTCAGCATTCCCAATTCTTCTACGCATAATAATATAATATAATTTTGTACTCAATTTTGTATTATGTCATGCCTAGTGTTCCTGCGGCTTTCTCTTATTCTCAGGAAACTATTATGAAACTGCAATCTAATAAATGTTTTGTTTTCTTCTCCACAGCTCACTGGTGGTGTCTTACTCGTTTCCATCTTCTTGGTTTTGATGGTTTATCAATTTGGTTGTCCAGATTACGAAAAAAACTGCCGGTACAGTAAGCCCAAGATTACGGGGAGGGGTGGTGTGGGGGTGGTGTGGGCGGGGGAGTGTGATGATGTGTTGGGGAGGAGACGGCCGTAAGCACGGTCGAGGAGAAATGTTTTTAGGTGAGATTTGAAAAAGGGAGGAAAGGGCATAATGCAGCCGGATTGAGGGAGAGCATTCCAGAGATTTGGGGCACAGTGGCTGAAAGTACGGCCTCTCCACACATCCGTCCTTAAAAAGACACATCCACCCATAACTCACCTTCACCAACAATCCCACAAACTCCGCTACAAACACACACTCTCCTTTACACAAGCACACTACCATACGCACACACCCACCCGTAAAACCTGCCCTAAAAGGCACACCCTCCCTACACACACACCCTCCCCTATACACAGAACCACCACTACACAATCAGACTTGTGGAGTCCTGTAGCTCAGTGGTTAGAGCACTCTCTTTCCAAGCGAGACACCTGGGTTCAACTCCAGGCAGAGCGAAACCTTGGGCAACTTTCCTTACTCCACACGTCTAATAATAATCCCTCGAAAACAAAACAATAATAAATTGGTCATTTCATCCACTACTGTTTGTGTGACATCCTGTGTGCAATTGGCTCCCGCGTTTCGCCCACAAATATAGTCAATTCACTTTACAGTATATTCTGTGAAGCGCTTTGAGACGTCGAGAAGACGTGAAAGCGCTATACCAAATGCAAGGATTATTATTGTTATGATTATTATTATTTATCCTCCACTGCCTACATCCTCCCCAACAATGACACACCCTTCCCTTCACACATGCAATCTCCCCTACACACACACCATCACCTACAAAGACGAATCCTCCACGTTCGCCCACAAATATACAGTCAATTCACTTTACAGTATATTCTGTGAAGCGCTTTGGGACGTCCTCCCGACGTGAAAAGCCCTATATCAAATGCAAGGATTATTATTATATCCTCCCCTACACATACATTCCCCTACACACGCCCTCACGAAAAAAGACACATCCTCCTCAACATACTCCATCACCTAGAAACACATATCCTTCCCGACACAAACCGTACCATATACACTCGACCTTCCCTATATACCCCTGCAATTATAAGAAACTCCCTAATCTACAAACACCCTGCCTACATACCCCTTCCCCTAAAATCCCGCATCCACCCCTCAACCTCTACAATTACATATTCCCTGCTCCAGTCACGCACTTCCTATACACACATTCTATCCCAACACACACACATCCTCCATAAAGACTCCCTCCCCAACAAAGACACAGCCTACCATACACAGACACTTCACCGTAAAATGCCATCTTCAACAAACTCAACACTACCGCACACAGCCTTACCCTCATATACCGTCACCTACACGCACATCCTCCTCTATTCGCAACCACCATTACAAAGATACAACTTCCCCTACAAACACATCCTCCCCTAAACACGCCATACTCTACAAAGGCACATCAACCCAAGCACAAAACTTCTCCTACAATCCTGCATAATCTCTTACAGACTCCATCCCCTACAAAACACACTCTCCTCTACACAGTCTCCCCTACCAACACACCCTCCTCTATTCACACACCCTAATTTATGCAGACGCCTTCTCGTAAATACACTACCCTACAAGGTCACACTCTCCCGTAAACATACCCTCAACTATTCACATCCTCTACAATATACACGCTCCCCTATAAAGACGCATCCTCCCCTTCACACACACTCATCCGCCCCGGCACATAACTTCTCCTACAAAGACACATCCTGTCATAAACAAACATTCCACTACACACGCCCTCTGCTACAAACACACACTACCCTAAATACACACCCTACACTACGCACATGACCTGACGCACAAAAACTCCCACGTCAATATACAGACCCTCCACTATACATATCTTCCCAATAAACACGAATCCTCCACTACAAACTCCAGTCCCCACAGACACACATCATTCCATACACACACAATCTCCACTACACATACCCTCCTCTATACACAGGTACTTCTGTACACACACGACCTCCACTACGCACACCATCACCTACTCGCACACCCTCACCTACACAATCGTATCCTCCCCTACACAAACCATGCCATTCAGACATGCTTTCACCTAGAAACACACCCTGACTATACACACACACACTATATTATATATATACATCCTCCCCTACCTTCACCCTGCCATACAAAGAGACGTCCTCCCCAAACACCTTGCCCTACACACAACCTCCCCTATACACACTCCGTCCACGAAACACTCACGTATCCTCCCCTAGACACTACAAGAATATATGCTCCCTTACGTACACACCCTCCCCTACAAAGATACAACTTTCCCTAGACACTTCATCTCCTACGCATAAACACAATCCCTAAATACACACACCCACCTCTGCACACGCCGTCTCCTACAAACACATATCGTCACCCCCTACACACACACCCTACAAACACCCTCCCCTGAACACATTCTCACCTAACGCACCCTCCCATACAGACACATTCTCCGTAAACGCACCTTCCGCTGCAGACACAATCACACTCTCCAGAAACATACCATCCCCTACATACGTCCAACCATAAAAACATATCCTCGCCTATACACAGACTCCTTTACACAAACCTCTCCTACAAACACACATACTCCAAAAAAACACACCATCACCGACATACACAATATCTCCCCTGCACACACTAAAACCTACAAAGGCACGGCTTCCTCTACAGTCACCCCCCTCCCCTGCATGCACCCTCCTTGGTACGCACACCATCCACTGCACACACGCATCCTCACCTACACATACCGCCACGTCACACACATCCTTCTCAACGCAATCCATCCACTACATACTTAGATCTTTCCCTATACGCACTCTGCCCTACGGACAATACCTTATCTAAGCACACTCTCCCCTATAAAAACAGCATCCGCAACGCATACACGCATCCTTCCCTGCACACATATCCACCACTACACACAACAACAACAACAACAAGTTTCCATTTTTAGAGCGCCTTTCACGTCGGGAGGACGTCCCAAGGCGCTGTACAGTTGGATCAGGACCCGAGCATTGGGGGGAAATGGTCAGGGTAGGGGAGGGAAGGGGGGGAGCGAGGAGGGGGTAGAGAGTCGAGAGGGAACTGAAGGCTGAAGGTCAAAGAGAAAGGTCTTGAGACCGGCCTTGAAGGAACAAAGGGAGTAAGCGGCGAAGGCACTGGGGGATTGAGTTCCAGAGCCTCGGGGCTGAGAGGCTGAAGGCCACCGATGGTAGGGCGGTTGGGGCGTGGAATGTGGAGCAGACCGGAGCCAGAGGAACGGAGTGTACGAGCAGGTAGGTAGTGGGATGGAAGTTCAGAGAGTTAGGAGGGAGCGAGGCAGTGAATGGCCTTCTGGTGAGGATGAGGATCTTGAACTCGATCCTCTGTGGAATGGGGAGCCAGTGGAGGCGAGCGAGGGTGAGTGCGAGGGTGGGTGTGATGTGGTACCGAGGTGTGGTGCGGGACAGTACACGAGTTGCAGAGTTCTGAATGACCTGCAGTGTGGAGGGAGGTGCCGGGAAGGCCGGCGAGGAGAGTTCCCATTCATACACACACATATTCCTCAACAGAATCCACCCCCTACATGCAAACATTTTGCCCTACACACACACTGCCCTTCACGCACTCTCCCCTAAAATCATAACTACCCTACAAACACTACCTACCCAACACACACGCCCTCTCCTACACACACACCCTACACCATGTGCAAGCCAACTCCTACACACATTTTCCCCTTCAAATACACTTCCTCCCATAAACATACAATCTCCACTACACACACACCACCACATACACTATGCCCTGCACAAACGCCCTCACCTACACACAGGTCCACGCTAAAAAACACACTCCACAACACAAACAAACTCCCCTGCATACACATCCTACACAACACGCACGCTCCCTTATCAAGTCAATTCCTCCCCTATCCAAACCATCCCCGACCAACAAGCATCCTTTCCTACACAGTTCAGCCCCTACAAACACACACTCTCCGCTGCACACACACACTTTCCTTTAAACAAACACCATCCCCTGCACAAAGCATCCACTGAACACACACCATCCGAATCACACACACACACACCTTCCACTTCACACAACACTGTGCTACATCAGCCCTCCCCTACACATACACCATCCCGTACACACACACACATGCATGCACAAATCCTCTCCAATACAAACCGTCCCCTTCAAAGACACATCCTCCTCCCCTACAAACACCCTCCCATGCAAAGACACCCTGCCCTATGCACACAACTTGCACGACGCACACGCCCTCAGTAACAAACACTGCCTCTTCTGCATATGCACCATCCACTACATAACGTCCCTTAAAACACGAATCCACCCCTGCACTCTCCATCCCCTGCAGACACACACATCCCATACACATTCAGTCTTCCCAACAAACACCATCCCTTACATATAGACACTTCCATACACACACCATCCCGTACTTGCACACCCTTACCTGCAGACTCGTATCTTCCCCTACACACACCTTGCCATCAAAGACGCACGCTCACCTAGACACACTATCCCCTATACACAGACTCTGCACTATGTACAAACATCATCCCCTATACATACCCTCCCCTGCAAAGGTACGCCCTCCACAAAACCCACAACCTCCGCGACACACGCCCTCCCCTGTACACAAATCGTCTACTGCACATAAGCATCCTCCCCTACACACACACACCCTATAAAGGCATATATACCCAAAACACACATCCTATCCTACACACACCCCCCCTACAAAGACACATCCTCCCCCATATCCACCTACACAGACATGTCCTCCCTTACACACACACTTTCCAACACACGGCCGCTCCTTCAAACACATATCATCACCAAGACACTCCATCCCCTTATAGACACTCACATCCCCCACCCAACCCTCCACTGTATACATCCTCCCCTACACGCACCATCCTCTGCAGACATACATTCTCCCCTAAACACTACCGAGACACATCCCGTGCCTGACACCCATCATCCCCTACACACATCCAACCCCAAAAAGAGCTATCTTCGCATATATACGCAACCCTACGCATTCCTTCTCCTACATGCTCCCCAAAGCACACAATCCCCTTACACACAAACTCCCCTACATGCATGCCCTCACCTACACACGCACTCCCCTACACGCATAACCTCCCCTTCTCATAAAACCCCTTAAACACACATACTAGCTTATACACACGGTCCCATACGAAAACTTATCCCCCGCTAAACAACAAAACTACATTTACAGAGGGCCTTTCGCGTCGTGAGGACATACCAAAGCGCTGAACAGTTAAATGTCGGGGCCCGAGCATGGATTAGGGTTGGTGTAGGGCAGAGGGAAGGCAGAGAGGTAGGAGGGCGACTAAAGGCAC